AATACTTGTTAATTCGGAATATGTATATTCCGTTTTTATTTTCTAAAAAAAAAAGATTACAAGTGAAAGTGTAAATAATTGGAAACGTACGTAAATGCGAACTGATCTCGCGAACGGATTGTTGTATCGACTGAAACAATAATTTTGACAAGCTTGTAATTAATTAACGCGAAGAATAATCAATTTATTCCATCGATATACAACAAATCAATTAACCATGTCATTAGCTATTCGTTCCGAATTACCGTTCTATCTTATATCGAGTGTAATTCGTAAATGTAATATTGTTCTTTTCAAAAAGCAGAGAGAGAAAAAAAAAAAAAGAATTTAAAATAAAATTCAACGTTCAAAGCAACGAGGGAGGCTTATTTTCAATGGTTCGTTTCGAGAGAACGAGAATTTCGTGACGGTGAGCAGACAATAAGGGTCAATTTACCCTTACGAACGATATCGATTCTCGTCAAAGCGTCTCGTTGGCATATTTTTTTCGCCGTACGACCAGCGACCTCGTTGAAAAGCTTTCTAATTAACTAGAAGGAAGAATATATATCGGCAACACGGAGCTCGCCTCGGAAATTTCGCGTGGACGAGAGAGGGTGGCGCGGCGCGACACAGGGGTGAGATCTAAATGATCAGTCTATTACAGGTTTATATTGCGAGCGTCGTAACGGGGCTTGATCATGAATCGTGGTCGTCACACGACGAACCATGGCCAATGCGAAAGGATAATCGGTGAATTCGGGGGATAAAAACGAGGGTTGTAATCACCCAGGCTTTGGATTGAAATTTAACGGAAAGAGAATCGTAGAATCGGAGGATGGATTTCGATGGCGATTCCAAGAATCCGATTATGGAATTCGAAATTTCCTATTCTTGATCTTGTGGAACGAACGTTGTTTCGATTTTTTTCTTTTTCCATGCCTTTTTCCTATTCCGTCAAATTTTGTTTGCGAACAAGGGAATTCTAACGATAATATTCGGCAAAGAAATTTAAATTACTATCGTAACGTGCGTGGCGTGAACAATGAAAATCAGTCCCGCCGTTGAAAAATATTCCATGACGTTTCTGACTTACGAATTATTCACAGATGAACGATAATATTTGTGAGAGATACGCATAAAAGTTTTAAAATATAACATGAATGAACGTCAGAGCCTCCTATCTAGGCTTCATTCATGATACATGACAATCATTCGTATAATCTCATTCCTTTAAATTTATGTATAACATGAGTCGTAAACTCGTGTAGCGTGTGTTTGAATTCAAAAAAAAAAAAAAAAAAAAAAGAAAGAAAAAAGAAGAAGAAGAAGAGAAAAAAAAGGGAGAGAAATATCGATATTTTCCAAGTAGAATTCTAAGTAGAATTAATCGAACGATCGTGTATTTGTACAAGATGTATTTCACAAGATCACGCGCAAGGAACTCGAAGAGAAGAGAAAATCGATAAAGGGATTTCTTTCAAGCCGTCTCCTTTCAAGATTCTCTGTCACGAATTCGGGAACAAGGCTAAAGAACGACGAAAAGAATCGCGTGGCGTGGATACAAAGACTTTTTGCGGCGAACTCGGAGAGTTTTTGACACGAACCATTTCTTCGTTTCACGTGTACCCTTTTATAATGCTCTCTCCGTGGCGTGACGGCAAAACAATTTCCAATTAACCAACTTACGATATAAATTGTAATACCATTATCATCCTCCATTACGCGATGCACTTTGACGCGAGTTCGCTCTTCTTGTGATTCAAAATACAGAATCATCATCATCGAATTAGAAATAATTCGAGGAATCGAATAGCGTCCCTTAAGTAGACCTAGGGTAGGAATGATTAGACGACAGAAATTTGTACAATACGTGTTATATCCTCTCCAATTGAGAGGAGAGAGATATCTCGAATGTATAAAATTGCGTCATTTCTTAAACAATATTTTGACGGTATTTATGTCTTTCCCTGTGCACGTAACATGTGATAATTTTATCGTTTGATCCCTGATAGAATAAGAGGAAAAAATTAATATCGAGGAATAGATAAAAACAGTTTGATATTTAAGTGAATTGCACTAGCAATGGCCAGGCATTAGAGACAATTTCATTCGCGTTCGCTCGCATAATTTCCAATCACTTTTCTAATTATATAACTTTATTACTCGTATTTATATCCATATCGCTTTTTAATTTATCCACGTTTCAAACGCATAGATTTTATACGTTACCAAGTTAATTCCGTTAGATTATTACAACGATAATTAGACACCTAAAACATAAAGCTTATAAACACGAAGAAAATTGCGTAACAACTTGCAATTAGACGGTCTATTGCCTTTAGAAACCGTGTGCTCACCACGATCTCGAGCGTCAGATGCCAGATCGCTGTATCGAGTTGCGCGTGGTTTAAATAGATGAAGATAGTAACGAGGAAACAAGCGTAAAATCGACTAACGACTGCACTCGGGTTAATTTTCATAATTCGTCGAATGGAAGATTGAAACGCGTCACTAGCTATCGCGAATCATTTTAACATCGGCAACTACGATAAATACGCGTAGTCGTAAAATAGCGGCAGTGAAATTAACGAAACTCTTGGTAAGCGAGTACCGAGGAAAACTTTATAATTTCCATTAACCAGCGAAATGAGTTTCGTAAGATTGCAAAGAGAAAGAGGATGGAACGTATCCTCGTTACGATTAAACAAATTTCGCTAGAAGAGAATGCAAACGTTAACAAAGAAGAGGGATAAAAACGAGGAATAGAGACCGAAAAAATATTTTAAAAAATATAAGGAAAACTAGGAGCGTTTCAACAAATTTACGTTACGAGGAATTGACTAATTTCTTTTTTTTTTTTTGTAATATAATAAAAAAAAAAATTGTTGATGCTCCTTACATTTTCCGCAAGATTTTTCCTCGCGTTGAAATTTTATAGCGTGTTCCTCGAGGAACACCGTGGGATGGAAATATTGTCTAAAAGGGTCTCGGATAATATTAAAACTCTTTACGGTAAATAATTAAGTTTGCAACGAAGCGGTTTCAGTTTACCTTCGAGGAGAGGTATCCGAAACATTTATAGAACTAGAAATTGCATTTCTTCTTAAGAGGAAAATAGTGTACGGTTAAAACAATATTGCTAGATATCGTTAGCTACCTTGATAAATATTCGATTTCGCTAATGGCGAGCAATTAAATGTGACGAACTCGACTTCTACACACCTTCTTCTTTTTCAAAGTAATTCCAACTCGGATATAGGGGGAAAAAGAAAAAAGAAAAAAGAAAAAGAAAGAAGATACGTAAGGCGAATAACTTTGGAACCGAACGATATCTCGTAAAGCTCTCGAAAGCTTTGGATAGCATCCTCGAGATTTCGCCTGAGGTATTGGCTCGAACAAGCAACTGGACATAAATCCCTGTTTGCTTTGTCGTCCAACGCACGGGAGAAGGTGAAACAAGCTTGATTGGCAAGTTAGATCCTCGGAGGCTACTTTCGGGAGACGTTCTCCGGTCGATAGGTCATGGTTCGAAGTATGTGCAAACATAATTTCGCTAGTGCTTACAAAGACCCTTTCGTACCGTTCGTAGAACCGAACAGGATGCCGATAATTTACGTTACTCGGAGGTCGCCGAGGTATACCGAACAGACACTTTTCATTTTTTCAACAAATTTGTCAACGAGAGCGCAAGATTCGACGAAAACAATAATCAAGAGGGGACGCGACGCACGAGTTAAATTTATTTTTATTAAATGCGTCAACAAACTAATTTAAAAAAATTTGCGAATCAATTATAATTCACTCTCCTCGCAATTCGTATCGTACGATCGTATTTCCTATTAACGAGAAATACCGCATAACACGGTAATAATATTTTTCATTAAATATTCATATAATCGAGTCGATGAATATCGGGAGAGTTTGCTCGCCAAGCGATTAAAAAAGAAAGAAAGAAAAAAAAAAAAAAGACAGGGAAAGAAAAAATAAAAATAGAACCGAATACTCTTTTCCTTCAAATTAATAAAAGTAACGTCATCCAGCCGATAAAAGAGAGAAAGAAAAAAAAAAAAAGATGGCAACAAGCAGTTTCCGAGTTGTATCAAAGGATCGATTAATTAAATGGACTTGCCCTTAAGCTCCATGTCCGTGACCTGATCCGCTTTGTAGGTGGCCGTCTCCCTGCGATTCCCAACCATGAAATAAATATTCGTGTATTCCTCTTCGTTACCACCGGTCCCGTTCCTCGCCTCGAGGTCCATGGCCAAGCGACTAATATCGGCCTTGAACCGGCTTCCGCTCCTCTGTGCTCGACCTTGCGACGACTCGCGAGCCGACCCGGCCGCCTTCCTATTATTACTCGGGGCTGCGAAGCAAAACCATTCCATCAATTCGTTCGAAAATCGATATATTATATATCGTAAGAGGGGAGGGGAAAAAATAAAAGGGTAAGAAAGAAAGGAGACGAAGGCGAAATCGAGGGATTAACTAACCTCTGGTCGGGTGTGGAGAGATAGCGGTATCCTCAGCGAGCTCATCGTCGCATCGCCGCCCCGGCGGCAACAACCGGGTCACCCCCGATTATTGCACCTGTCGACTTCGTACCTGCCGTGGCCAACACCCGCAGGGTGAACGATTCAGCGTTGCAGGATCCCGTCGATGACCGTCCAGCCGCCAACCGAGAGGACGACCGCTCGTCTACTACCAGCTCACGCTGCGCTCCTTCATGGTCCATTCTGTAAATTTCCCAATCAACCCTTCTTATTCGTTTTTCTATTCTCCCTTATCTATTATCCATCCACTTCCTCCTCCTTTTATTTTCGTCCGCGCAAAACAAGTATCCACGATTTTCAATTTTTCAATTTTTCAACTTTTCGACCACGTATGCAACTAGCCCGCGCTTTCCTCTCGACTCCCCTCTCTCTCTCTCTCTCTCTCGATAATAAGTAGAAGGTAAATTTCACTTAAGATATATAGATTTCTGACCCTGATGTAATAAGAAATACATTTGTTACTTGGAAGCAAAGCGAGAGAGAATCGATTACAGGCCCAACTTACTTACTTACTTACTTACTTACTTACTTACTTCCTTCCTTCCAACCCTGTCGAGCAAAATGCAAAGCGTGGACCGTTGAAAAATTCACCGAATACCGAATAACGAACAACGATCCAACGGCCGCGAAACAGTTGGGAGAGTTTTCCCGCTGCTCGGTGTACTGGAGCAAACTTGGAACGAGGCAATAAATTCAAGATAAGCAAAAAGATGGATGGAGCAAGAAGTGGTACTCGAGGATGAATATTGAAAAAGTGTAATATGTAGATGTAATATAGATGGGAGGACTGGAAAGTTTCGTTGGAACAAAAAAAGTGAAACGGATGTAGTTGCTTCTTCGTAAATTTTTTAATTTACATGGCCTATTACATATATACTGAATTCGATATTAGAGATAAAAATGGGGAGGCGTGCCGTGCTGTTCATCGAGCATGAAATAATTCAGCGATGGGGATGATTGGCATTATGTCGATTTATCAAGTTTCGCGAATATAATCAAGAATAAATTGTATCGAGGGGGGGAGATCGATACGATTTATCAATTATCGAATTTCTAAATCAAAATTTCGAACAAAACGCGCAATGTGAATAGTAAGTGAAAATAAAGAGACCAATTATACGTATTGCGGCGTATACGTATTGAATCGCATTATCGAATCGAACAAAAGGAGAGCCAGTTACGAAATTAATATTTGATCCCTAATCTACTGGAGGATCGAATTAATTATAATATCAATATTCGTACAGAGAGAGAGAGAGAGAGAGAGAGAGAGAGAGAGAGAGAGAGAGAGAGAGAGAGAGAGA